CATTCATTTAGACCTCACCTTCGGGGATAGTGTGGCGCGTAAATTATCGACATCGAAGGGGGCCAGTGACGTGCCTCCAAGTTCCCCTGAGCCGTGCAATGTACTTCGCTCCTGCTGCTTCTACAGCTGGGGATGACGATGATGATGATGCTGATGATGATGATGATGATGATGATGGTGGTGGTGGTGGTGGTGGTGGTGGTGTTGGTGGTGGTGGTGGTTCACTACAGACATATCTCTCAAGATTATTGTCAGAAATTGGCATGTCTTATTAGGTTCCTATATCGAGACTTTTACTGCGTGACCTGGGACTTTAACTACGGCCTTCAGTGCTGGGAAGCACAATGCCTGGCTACTCATGCTGCGCCGTGCGTACTTAAAACGTTTTGAAAATAAAGATGCTACTTTCAAAGGAGCGGTGAGTTCATCGTTTTAGCCTGATTGCCGGATGGAACATAGACATTCCGGAGTAGACTGCTGTATGACACTCCCAAATGATTCGGAGTGTTTTCTTTATCAGCCGACAAAGGCGCAGACATATGATGTAATGATTGAAGGAATTATGATTTAGACTTCAGATACCCTCGGCTTCGGGTTAGAGTACAGCAGACTCACAACAGCGAAGAGACCCAAAGTTGTCTTCCCCGCTCCCTTTGTCCTTGTTGGGTATGCATCTCGGCGAGGCGCGTGCAATCCAGAGGGGAACAAGTTATTCTAAGAAAAGGGCAGACAGACTGGCGGTATCTAACACTCCGGGGGGACAACTGTGCCACTTGGCTCCAAATACATTTGGCTAACAAGCAAACGAAAACTAACTGAGATTCTGGGAGGCTCAAGGCAAGAGAGACTCATATTACTCAGTTTCGAACAGTTTAACTGGGGGACACTGTCGTTGCCCTGTCGCGCCAGCGCACCGCCTGTCGCAGCGTGAGGGATAAACGAGGTCGCGGAACTCTCAGCGAGGGGAGGGAAGAGGGGGGGGGGGCGAAACCGTTTAAGCAGACCACCTTGCTGGCACTTTCGGTGGAAGTGAAACTTATCCGCCTCATCCTATGACCTGCTGGAATATTAATCAGAAACGCCATCTTTCGACAGGACACAACGACAAGAGCACCTGGTCATAGAAAGCACGCCCTGGACGATAAGATCTGGCAAGTGGGCCTGCCGCGTCCAGCTGATGATTGGTAGGACAAGTCCAATCGGGTCATGCGGGTTACCGCTGGCAAGTGAACTGTGAACCAGACATTGACGGACAGTTAAACCTTGCTCCCTCCCCCCCCCCTCCTCGGTCCTATCGGTCGTTGCAATGACCAACATTGTAGGAAAGGTGCCCACTACAGGCCCAGAGTTTTCGTCTGGAAACGCAACTCCGGGTGAAAAAAAAACCCTTACAGTCGGGATTTTCTACATGGTGCTTATAAGTTGCAAGGGCCTCGGTATCCTCGCCTCCGAGGCCTGCGTAAAAAATGCCACAAGTGGATCATGAAGACGGCCCTTGACTGCCAACTTACGCAGGCATGTATAAACCAAGAGGGGAAGCACTGAGGCGATTTTAGTGTAACGGTACATAGGCAAGATGTGGTTTGGTAGTCCCACCTGATGGACACAATACTGTTGGAGTTGGGGTTAAAGGCTAGGGTTAGGGCTTAGGATTAGGGGTTTCAGGGTTAGAGCAACTATTTCTCAACCGTTCAAAGTACAACCGCGCATTCCCAAAAGCCTTTCTTTTGCATACGACTACTTGACTTCGTCACCTATGCGTTCCCCGACCCCATCTGTAAAAAACCCTCTTACCACCGGTCCCGTATTGCAGGTGACTGAGGTTTGTTTACTTCAGAAGGGGCTACCAAGCCACATCCGACCGGTGCCATATAATCTTAATTATTTCCTACCTGGATTATTTCGCGAGACGGGACCGAAACGCAGGCACCTCTTCCCCTCCTCCTATTCCTGACTACTACAGCCTCAGCGAGTTTTCGGATGAAGTCACGAGGTAAAACTTTGGTAAATAATGTCGATTTAACCCCCAATTTTAACGACTAGCTCATTTTCTGAAAGAGACTGTATGATACAGCCTCTCAGTAGGCGTTTTCCACCTGTAAGATTTCTCTATGTCATGTAGTTTGCCCTGTGGGGGGTTATATACTCGGCAAATAGCGGACGGTGTCCTTCTACCATTCTGACTTTTTGGTCTCGTTACCCAAGGTATGGAGCTGGACTTCGGTTTGTGCAAAACATATTTCGCTCTTGCGGATCACGATTTCGGGTTGCTCATGCTGCGCCGTCTGCACTCAGAACTTTCTCAAAATGGAGACGTCGCCTCCAAGTGAGGCTGCCGTTAACAGATTTGGCCTGACTGCTGGGTGGAAAAGGGGAGTTCTGGTCTAGATTCAAGTATTTAATGGTGCTTTAGCTGAGTTGGCTCAGTGTCTTTAAAGTCCATGTCGGTTAGCCTCTTGAACCGACGAAAAAAAACCCAGAAGAAAGGGGGTTAAAGAAATTGGTTACGTTTGAAGATTGCATCACTGTAGCGTTAGGAGTATGGAGGTCCGATTTAACCTTTTAAGTCTGTGTCATTTAGACAATGCCCTGTGTGAGCCGGTAATCACAGCAATTCTATTAAGAAGCTGGGACGGTAAATTTCGCAGGCTAGACACAGGTGATGGACGAAAGATAGACTATAGACTTTGCGAAGGATATGTAGTAGATACCAGCACGGTGTCAAAAATTGATCACCTGTCCGGATTTTTTTTATTCCGTGAGAGTCCCAAAAGACCAGTTCGCATCGAAAAAATAAGGCGCAAGAAGTTCTCGATTACTTCAGGCAATTTTCCCTGAACTTTTGGGCTTCTTATGGAGCATTAATTTCTAGTCGCTAAAAAAATGAACAAGAGGCATTTGAATATTCGTAACGGAAGCTCCCCAAAGAGATCCAACCCTGAGTTGAGAAGGAAATGCGCCAGATCAGTGGTATGTAATTTTCATCATTAGATATCACCGCCCCAAACCCTAACAATGAAAGCGACTCCTTGTGCGCATTCAAATTTAAGAAGGCGTTTTTTGTCGGAATGGCGGAGTAAATATCTCCCATCTATTTTCGGCTATGCACCACGGAGAGCGGTGTGACCCTTGGTCATGAACGTTTACTTTGTAGGCTCAACTCCACAGTAATAACTGCGCGACTTTCACGCATCTAAGTCTTGCAGTAAGTAGTCTATTAGTTTTACACCACTAGGCCCACAGTAAAAATACGTCTCATCCGTATCCAGCGTCCGTACGACACAATAGCGAGGAATGTGGCTCATCAGCATAGCCCTGGCGGCTCCTGGTTTTGCTTGCGTTCTAGCAAAATCTTCCTATTTAGGGACTCGTTGGCCACAATAAAATTCAGGCAACTTATTTAAAAGTTGTAATCCAATCAGCCGGTAGATAAGGTTGTAACGAAGATTTTACAGGAGTAGATGCATACCTCTTGATGAATCGAGACAACAGTAGGTGGGCGAACTCATGAAATGTCAACCAAAATTCCGAAATGCGTTTTCGTTTCGAGAAGATTAATTAAAAAATATTGTAAAACTAATCATCTTGCAGCATAATTCTACAATAATTCAGTTACCTCAGGACGCCGGCTTTCGAACGAACTTCTTTCCGGCTGCATGCAGAAACTATACTCTGCAAAAAACGACTACTTATGTAGCACGCATTTTTCTCATTGATTTTCGGTTCCCTTAAAAATTCAACTATATTTAATGGAAAACATGCACAAAAGATATTCATTCTTTTGCTCATTCGGTAGAAAATTACGTCTTCTTCCGATTTTATGCTCGAAGGAATGGTATAATTCGGTTTTAAAAAAGTTTCTAATTGTGAAATTTTTTAATACCGTGAAATAGCCGTTCATAAAACGTCATGTCTCTGCATTTGCCCGTGTGGCTTGTAAAGTTAACAATATGGATCAAATCCACTGCTAAATTTTATGAACCCTATATGGTCCCCTTTTATTACCGTAGAGCAATGCGTGGTTTTCCGTACACGGAAAATATACGGCTTGTAGTTTGGAAACCCCGAATGCAAGTGTGACAGCAGAGCGGGTTCAAAATTATTCGGGAATTGAGATGTTTTTATGCATGTTTTCTATGAAATATAATTGTTTTTTTTGGGGCATCGAAAATCAATGAGAAAAAAATGCATGCTACTTAAGTAGTCATTTTTT